ATATCCTTTTCAATTTAGGTTTAAATAATTCAACTGCATCACTTTATTTGATTGGTCCATGTGGACAAATGTATAGTACCTTATAGATACCATAGAATCTACTTTTTTTTTATTTTTTTATTTGAAATGAGCGACCCATGTGAGCTTGCATGTGAACTCTGCAAATGAATTAAATTTGCCAGCTTAATGGGGTCATGCATACGGAGTAATAAACAACTTTCACAGCATGTTGCTATTGCATCCGAGTAAACACAGAAGGCATTTGACATTTCATCTACTTTAAAACTGTTATTTTTAGAAACAATCTAAGAGATAGTGTTTAATAGTAAAAATTAATAATGTTCGATATAATAATTTTGAAAAAATTAAAGTTGGTAGCATTTAATAGGAATATTGTTTTCTGTACATTAGAAAAAGTGAAAAATTGTTTAAAATATTGCATCTGCTTCCAGCTTTTAGTTTTCAGGTGTTTATTTTAAGTAGAAATCACTTGAAAACACACATTCAAATTTATTTTTAGTCAAAAGTTGAAAAACATGTTTTTAGTTTTTACACACTCCCTCAATCAGGTCTTGGAATTTAAGAAAGTACGGCCACAACGTACGCTAAACCTAAAGGAGTTGACATAAGGGCACCACCTATTAAACCATATTATAAATATGTTTAGACGTTATAACTTATAAGCATATTTCAGTAAACATTTCATTCAACTTTAGGCACTTTCACACTCTCATCAGAAACATCGGTAGAGGATAAATCATGATATGATCTCAATAAGCTTATGAGAGAGATATGTGATAATGTGAGTTCCTAATCTGAACAGGGAGTTACTACATTAGATTGAACTTTCGCATGACTATTTGATGGAATATGAGATTTCAATCCAACTATCTCATTTAGTACTAATCATTGAGCTACCAACTCGTGTGAGTAATAGATTTTATCCTCTACGACGGAAACATCGTGATGCAACTTTACCCAAAATCTTACCACATAGCTGCCATGGGCTCATAGCCTCAGAGTACCACAAAAAGAAAAATTCACTGTTAAGTTTCTCGGAAAATGTACTCATGGAAAATCCGTTTGTATACATTTTCATACACTTTATGTATACCATCACCCTATTTTATTTGTATAGACGAGTAATTCGTCTAAAAATGTAAACAAAATAGGAATTGTTGGCGTACAAAATCAACTAGGCAAGTTTATGAAAAGTGTATAAAAAGGTTTACAATTGTATTTGTACACAAAGAATTACTCTTTGTTCATATAATCATATACAGTTATTTCACCCAACAAATTCTCTTAATGTTTTGAAAGAATACTCATAACACACTCTTTTATGTAATTGTTTGCGCACACAGACAATATTACACTAGTTGCCTTTGTACACAGGTAACTAGGAGTTGTACACATTTTTTATGTGCACATTGTCTTAGACTATTTTTGTATATAACTTTTTCTTTATTTTTTCATAACATATACTCCCTCTGTCCCAAAATTAACTTCTCACTTTCCTTTTCGGACAGTCCCAAAATTAACTTCACACTTCAAAACTTTCTTTATTTGACAAATAACTACATCAAAAAAGTGTCAAACAGTGTCAAACAGTGCCAAAACAGTGTCAAACAGTGTTTAAACAGTGCAAAACAGTGCACTCCACAGTAAAGTCAAATTTATTTTCTTAATCTGTGTGAAGTCAAACTGTGAACTTAATTACGGGACGGAGGGAGTATTTAATAATATAATTTTTAATAATTCAACCGTCAGCAGATTCAGTCTTGTTTGAAATAAAATTTCATCAATTAAGCATTTCACCCAATTAATTCGACTGTTATGAAGGGACCACTAAATATACAACTCACTAATACCAACTCAGCAGTAAAATAGAGGGCATAGGGCGACCTACTTAGGCCAACAACTCTCCAAGTAGCTGAATTGTCACAAAAGATTGTGTCATACTTCATTAATTAAATTGGAGGTTTTTGAGTGACTTCCTAATGTCAATGACATGATAAAAAGATCATAATTCAAGTAAGGGAAAAGGGGCAAAAAAAAACCTTCAAGTTGTTCCCAAAAGGCATCTCAACCCTTAAACTATTTTTGTGTGCAAAAAAGCTTAAAAATCAATAAAAGGAGGGCAATCACCCCCTTAACAACGTTGAGTAGTTAAGGGAAGTGGTTCCTTACTTCCTTTGGGTATTATGACCATATGTCCGTATGTAGCATAATTTTTTACTACGTATATTTTTTCTTTTAATTTAGCTTGGTCCTACAACGAGGACATATTTGCTCTCTTTTTGAAAATGTTAGATGTTAAATTTTAAAATATTCACATGCTATACTTTAACTATACCTTCTTTATTAATGTACTGATAAATTATTGGTTTTAAAAATATTTTTAAATTTGTCTCATTGTAAATTTTTATTTTTTTGTTTTTTATTTCTAGAGAATCATACTCGCTCTGTCTCTGGATTAATTTTTCAAATATCTCTTTTTGTTTGTCTCAAAATAATCTTTTCTTTTGCAAATAATTTATGGTTCACAATATGTTTTACACATTCTTACACGTTCTTCGCTCTTCAGTATAACGCTCTACCATACAATTTTCGCTTTTTTCATTCCCGTGCAAAACCAACTTTGGAAGATAATTCAGGGACGAATGGAGTATATATTACTACGTAATTGTCAAAGTTATGGAAAAAATATTAATTGTCAAAGTTATGCAATAACAAATATGAAATGTGAACTTTGATACTTATTTTAAAACGGGAGAAGTATTATGCGGCTGTCAATTTATCATGATTAACAAATACAAGATATCCATTAAAAACATATACACTACAAATTAATTGGTTTAATGATAATCCAGTGAACCCAATAAACGTGATAGCACTTGTGCTGTGATAAGATATTTTCACTAAATTCTTATTCTCACTATATTTGTGACAATTCGGTTTAAGATGCTTGACCGACAATAAAGCAAACAAATCCATGCCTTCAATCAAATTTTTTTAGAAAAAAATTACATATTCAAAAACTACATTAAAAACTTTACAAAGTCGCAAAAATCAGAATCAAATTTGATAAAAAAAAATTAATATACAAAGTAACAAATTAAGAGTGATTTGTGTTGATCAAGTGAATAGTGTCTGGGACAATCTTAGCGGAATGGAGGGAGTAATATTCCATTTTTTTACTTCAAAAGGCGTCTGAGGGAGGGGCTGGGGGGTCTGGAGTAATTGGGGCTGAAACTCATTCCATTGAGTTTCGGACCCGATACCCTCCGTAAGGGAGAGTGAGTCGGCGACCAGCTCGGTTGGACCGCTTCCTCATTCTTAATATTCCGTATATTTTTAAAAACCGAATAAAATCGAATCGAACTAAAAAATCAATAAATTCTTATTGTATTTTTAAAACGTGACAAATTCAAACCGAATCAAACTGAAGTATAGTATGTTTTTTCTTGGGTCACAGACATAGGCACATCCGCATCATGTGTGTTTTCGAATAACGGAGGAATTGACAACTCCGTAATACTTTGTAATACTTCGCAATACTTCTCTCGTTCTTAAATAAGTGTCAAAGTTCACATTTCATATTCATTAATGCATAACTGTGACCATTAATATATACTCCATTTATCCCTGAATTATCTTCCAAAGTTGCTTTTGCACGAGAATGGAAAAAAGAAAATTAAAATTGTGTAGTGGAGATTGTACTGGAAACATGTAACAATGTGTAAAATATGTTTTGAACCACAATTTATGTTGCATTTTTTTTTAGACTGACGAAAACGGAATTTGAAAATTAATTCAAGGACGGAGCAAGTGTAATTCTCTATTAATCAAAACATAAAAGAAATTGTAAAACTACAATGAGACAAATTTAATTTTTTTTTTAAAATCATTGATACATTAATAAATAAAGGGTAGTTAAAGTAGAGCATGTGAATATTGTAAAATTCATGTTGCACTTATTTAAAAAGAGATGACATATGTCATAATTTTATTCCATAATTTTAGGACCAAAATATTCTAGATTTACCTTAAATAGAGGACAAACTGAAATTAAAAGAAAAAATATAAAAAATATTGTCAATTAAAATTGTGCACCATACGGTTAAAATGACCAAAGGAACAACTTGGAACAAAGGAACAACTTGGAACAACTTCCGTTAACTGCTTCAGCGTTTTTGCTCTCTTTTCACTTATTTTGAGGCTTTTTGCACAATAAAATAGTTTAAGGGCTTAGATGCCCTTTGGTGACAACTTGGAGGGTCTTTTTGCCCCTTTTACCTTCAAGTAATTAGTAGAATGTGATATTTTCCACCTAAGCCAAAATGTGATGCTTCCTTTAACTAAGATCAAGTCAGGAAAATGAGTTGAATCTCATATAATAAGATTCGCCATTGTTACTCGCGATATGCCGATATATATGATCGAGCATTAAAGCTGATTATTGAGGGATTATTGGGATTCATTTAGTGAAAATAAGAGTAATGTTCCACTTCTGTTATTGGGATTATTAGACACTGAAGTTTCATAATTCATAGTTTTTGGACACTCACTTATGATTCTGGATCTTCTTCCTTTAATAAAATCGTTAATCTTTTATTTCCTTTCCTTCTTGGTGAAAATAAACTAATTTAATTACGTATATAATTTTGGAATATTGAATCTGAAGTTTTAGAATATATATTTTGATTTTGATTAATAAATTCTTATATTTAACAATTTAAAAATATATTTAGGACTTATCATTAATATGATTTTTATGAAACCTTAAGAAATATCGATTTGTTAAATTGATTTAACAATATTAAACAATTCAATTACATTATAATAGATTTTCTTGGAACTTCTAATTATATATTCTAAATCTAAATACATGAATTAAGTTACTTTCATTTTTCAGGTACATAATACCAAGAGAAAAAATAATACTTGTAGCTTTCAAGATGAAAAACTTTGGTGGGTGTTCGAAAATGACCAGAAAAACGTAAATTTGATCCTTTTAAAACTTTAGTGTCTAATATGAGATTACGAGATACACAAGTAACCATAGTGTCCAATTTGATCCATTTGAAATATTAGTGTCCAATATAAGATTTTCATATAATCATAACCGGTCCAATTTGACCTTATCCCTACTTTTTTTTACATGTACGGAGTATTTGTTTCTTTAAATCCTTTGTGGGCTCCTTCTCTCACTCAAAAGCTGAAGTCAACGCTCGGCCAAACTCCTTCAGAAACGAGCTAACATTAGCATACTCTGCGAAGGCTTTCGTGTCAGCTTGACAGCGCAGCAGCTGCGGAAAGAACAGCCAAAAGCCCGTCGCCATCAAGAATCCCAATGACAACGACGTCGCAACAAACCTCGGCAGCCTGTACCTCCCCTTCAGTTTCTTCTTCACTGCAATCTCCACAGCCAAACAGCTCCCATGGAGAACGAAGAACAGGGTGATCTCCCAAGTGGGTTTCACCCGACCCAAATAGAAGAACATCAGCTCGTGCATCAACCCCGACACGGCAAAAGTGGACAGCACGGCGGGGAACGCCGCCCATTCCCGGCCGAAAAGGTTGGCGGAGAAGCGGAGAACGGGGTTGTAGACGGTGGGACGGAGGATGCGGTTGACCATGAGGTTCCATCTTCCACCCCAGAAGTTTTGCAGGGAGGTGGTGAAATACGGGTCCTTGAATTGTGGCTCCAAATCCAGACCAAGAAACCCGCTAGTCATGGCTGCGAGAATGGCTAGTATAATCTCCAGGTAAATGTAAATGTGAATGAAATATACGGTGAGGGTCATCGTTTTGTGATGTTTATGTTCACTGTAATTGTAGACCCCGATCATAAAACTGAGCAGAAGTCCCTTTATTGCGTAAATCAAGAATTTCGGACGGGATTTTGATCTTTCAGCACGTGACTCTTCCTGAAAATGAACATTTTCAGTGGATTCTGGATATGGATTTTCTGTGAAATTCCCATGCTTAGAGTAAGGTTCTAACTTTTCCATGGATTTGAAGTGTATGGTTTCTTGAAAATCTCCATTTAGGGAGAAAGGATTAGATTTTTCAAAGGAATTTTTCTGTGGGCTTTCTTGTGAAGTCCTATTTTGAGGGTAAAGATCAGATCTTTCAAAGGATTTTTTCCATGGGGTCTCCTGAAAAGAACCATTTTGGAGGGAAAGATCATATTCTTCCAAGGATTTTTGGTGTGGGCTTTCTTGAGAAGTTCTATTTTGAGGACAAAGACAAGATTTTTCAAAGGATTTTGGGTTTTCTTGAAAATGGGATTTTTGTGATGAGTGAACAGTGGTTTGTTTCTGGACATTAACAGGGAAGCAAGCAAGGGCAAGAAAACGAGGGAGAGAGATGGAAGGGTCAGAGAGAGGGCCATGGCCAAAAGCAAGGAGTAGTAATTTGAAGTTGGCGAGCCAAGCAAGGAAGAAACCTGTGGTGCCACCGAGATGAATGGAGTGGAGGTTGAGGGGGAGGAGAAATAAGAGACACACAACAGGGAGAAGAAAGAAGAGCCTTTGCATTCCCTTTTGCACCAACTTGGCTGCAAAATAGCAATAGCAGAGAGATATGTATGCTGAAGTCCATATCATTATGAAGTTTGTAATTTCTCCCTCCATCCAATACTTGATCACACTTTTTACATCTCTTCCTTTTTCCATGTCTCTCTTTTAGCACCAATTTAGTCTCTTCTTTGGTAAGTTCTTCTGTATAGGATCGTCTAGCGTCTTCTTTAGTAGAATTGTGATTTGCATGCTTAAATCTCAGCACCTTAAGGGCCCATGTGGAACTCAGAAAGCCTTTTATTTCTTTTTCGAGATATTTCGGGGACCCAAACACAGCCTAAGGGAACTAATGTACACCAACTATTTTGTCAATCAAGCTCTTTTGATGTTCAGTCACTCAACCATTAACTTGTATATTTGGGATCATGGATTCCACATTTGCGATCACAAGCCATATTTCTCGGTGTATATCGGACATGTGAATGGTTAGAAGATAGAACTAGTTATGCAAGCATAGAAAACGTGACATGACATGCTTGGCATTGAATAAATTTAATGCCATGGGAAATTGGGAATTGAATTTGGATAGGGTTAGATTCACATGCTTGGCTCCTTCACTCATAGCTATCACATGTTAATACCCCATATGGACTAAGATTATATTTATAAACCGAATCCTATACAAAACCATCAATCTATTACGGAGTATTATTAATAAAGCTATCTAGAAAGACATGTTGATGTTGTACAGTTGTAGCATGTTCCATAATCCACCTCTGGTTTACTCCTCATTCAACTTTTATGGCCATGCTCATCTCGTGCCTATATTTATGGATCTGGAACTCTATTCCTGCTTTCATGCAGCTCAGAACCCATTTTGGTGTATTATAGAATTCTGGATTCCCCAGTTAATTTCATTGGACAAATAGAGAAAATTCTGGCAGTTGAAGACAAACTAAACAAAGCAAATAAATCTCCGAAATTTAAGTTTTTGAAATGGATACACAGAACTTTTTCCACTGTTTGTTTTCATAAAGGCATATGATTAATAACTATCTATATCATTTTGGTTGTCTTATTTTTCTTTTTGAGTTATCTCCAAATGAATGTCACAGTTCCTATTTTGGAAAAAAATATGTGATTCTTATAATTTCACTTTATTTTACTCAAATCTCAATCACAACTTTTACTTTTCAACCACTTTATTAATAATCGTGTCAAAGTAAAATAAGACATCCAATATGGGAGAGGTAGTATGTATTTCTTGACAGCATATGTTGTCACCAACTTCATGAACATGAAGCAGTTCAAGCTAAAACAACTTCTTGACTAACATAATAATCTCCAGTGTTAATCATTAAAGAAGAAAAAAAGGCTAAGCTATATCGTCCAACACACAAAAATATATCTTACTGTCAAAAGATACCCCTCCTCGCCTCCTCCACTAGCCATCACATAAACCAATATAACACATCAGGATTTCCCACCACCTTTGAATGCTCAGAAATTTACCAGGGGATAAAATAGACTTGGAAAAATTCAAACAGTGAAACAAGAACACTCCCGACAGGTGCATATTAGTTCAAGAATAACTAAATTTATGTAGCTGGCCATTCTTTCTTAATCTCAAATGTATAGTTGATCTCCAGGTAGCATTTGTTGTCATCGTCGGTGAACTGTTGATGAAAATTGATTTGTAGGAAAAAATTATGATAATCAATCAGATATATCTGTGTAAAAGCTTAACTGCCTATACTCCAACTAAAGTGAAAGTTCAATTACTTTATACTACATAATACGTATGTGCTTTATGCAATAAAGCTCCATTTGGCAGCCTGATATGGCTTAATCCGGTTCTCAGCAGAACAAGTTGAGCTTTTGGCCAAGCTATTTGGTTGAAAGTGATGCAACCAAATGGTTTTACTTTCGGAAGATTCAGCAAAATCAACCATTTCAGCCATAAAAAAATAGCACTTACCAAACGCATCATTAATGAGTACTCACCTTTGACTTTGCGGAATATGATCCTCTAGCAAACATGCCAGAAGGGGTTGTCTCTTCAGGCATTTCGTGTGTGTAAGACTCCAGTTGTGGACTGAAGGTGCCTATCATTTGCTTCGTGCCGTCCACTATTAATATGGTCAGGGGGAAAAGTTAACACAAAGTAAAAAAAAATACTCTGGAACATAAGATAAAAATGTATGAAGATTAATGGTTACCTTTAATGCCAGTTTTCCAGACAGTGTTTGCATACTTGAGGCCAGAAACAATGTTATTGCTGACCTGGAATGAAAATGTTAGGCTGTAACGGCTGCCTTCTTTCAATGTAAACCATGGGCTGCTAGGATTTCCGTCTTCAGGGATTGAGAGAACAATATCCGATCTCTCTGGAGATTTGATTACAAGGCTCAGGATCTTAACTTCTGGATCCAGAGATTCTGTGGTTATGGAAGTGGAAAGAAACCATGTTTTCCCTATTAGATAGAGATCATGAATGCTACTATTCACTTGTGCAGGAAAAGAGTTTCAATGAAATAGATATATTTCAAATTAGGCCTCATTTGAAAGCCACAATTTTTGGCTTAATCCCAAAATAAACAAAATAAGTAGGATTTGACACACATAGCCACCATTTGGTAAGGTTGTTTTTGCTAATAGCTAGCATTGATGGAATATTTTAAACAAAAAGTGTTCAGCAACATCCATTTAGCTAAATAAGCAAGCCAGAGGGCTAATTATTCTGATTATACCGTTGAGAAGTAGAATAAGCAACTTTCTGCTTCCAAACGGAGCGTTATTTGGTTAAAATTGATGTTACTGAACATATGACAGTTGAAGGTTGTTTGGATTTCACGTACACTCAGCTTAGTTCAATAGAACGTTTCACTTTTTCAGGAAGAAAAAATAAAACATTATGTTCACGGGCATCTTTAACCAAGAGCACATTTATCTAAAGTCAGACCCAAACACACACCCCAATTACTTATGTTTAACCCATTTTAGAAGGACTTTTGAGGAAGTAAAAAGCAACACTCTTTTCAATAGCATCTTTGTCAAAATCAGTTTTGGCAAAAGCACAACATATAGTTCTAAACACACCCTAATTCTTTCTCATTTGAATATTAAGGTGTAGGATTTACACTGTATGAGAAAGAGTATCATGTTTGAGGGATAACCCAAATTATAAAAGAATTGATGAAATCAAGAGTTTCAGATCCTAAACTGCTGCTTGTTTCATTTTCTCAATTGGACGGTTGTTATCTAACAAGTTACACCGGAAACTGAAAACGATCCGATCAAATCAAAGATAGATCTATCGAAAGGTTGTGAAGAACTCGAGCAACAGATCCAAACTCATCAAAAGACAATTTCAAGAACAAAATAGAAATATATTTGTATTTAAAGAAATTAAAGAAAAGAGCAAATATTGAAGCAGGAGGATAGTAATAAATATACCCCCAACAGCATTTATATCCACACTCCCAAGAAGTTGCTCCTTCCACCTTCTCAAGCTCTCATCCTCCTACATTTAAAAAAAATCACAAATTAAACCAAGCGAAAGACACTATGAATATATTCTATAGACTATAGGTGTGAGGGTTCATGGGTATGTACCTTATCTTTCTCGAATTGTTCCTTAAGAGTAACCTGAGGGCCTAATTGGATCTTACTTTCAGTCTCATCATCTTCTTCGTCCTCAGTAGTATACATAGAACTCTCACTCATATGTCTGGAAATCTTCTTCTCAACTGCTTCACCGCCGGTTTCATCATCTGCCATTGATTTTGGGTTAATGTCCTCTGAAACATCTGGGTCTTTCCCATCCAACCCCATTGTTCCAGAACTTGAAGCCACTCCAACAACCAATGACATCAACAAACAACCTTAAAAGTCTCGGCACTCAATGCAGATTAGTAATAATTACAGAAACGCACAGAGACTAACAATAAGAAATTAAAATCGAACCTTTTCTTGTCAAAGATTAAAACTTTTGGGGGAATTTGGAGAGATAATCCAAAAGGAGAAGTATGCGGAAAAGAAATGGGTGAGAATTGAGAAAAGAACTAAAGAAAAGGGTCCAGGGGTGATCCGGAGATTGTGAACGAATGAATGGAAAACCGGTAGTTAGAGTCTTGAGAGAGAAATCGTGAAGGTCACCTCACTATGGCTTTGGTTCAACGGTATACATGATATGATGATATCTAATGATTGGACGACGAGCCAACTATACAAGACTCACTAAGAATGGATACAGGGGAGGTCACTCACTATGACTTTGTAACTCATTCTACTTCTGCTTCTTTTTTAAAAGCAGAAGTATAGAATCAGAATCAGTTTTCAGAAGCTGGTACGCTCAACTTTTAAAAAAACTGATTCTGAGAGTAAATTAGAGCTCCAGAAGTGCTTCTGGAATTTCACCCAAACACTCCTGCTTCTGCTTCTGCTTCTTGAAGGAGCAGAATCAGTTTTAAGAATCAGATTCAAACACACCCATATTCGTTTTGGTTCAATTTGAAATGGATAGAAAGATGATTATTAAACAAAAGTCATACATACTACTACTACTACGTTTTCGTTTCGATCCATTTGATTTGTTTTTTTTAGGTTTAGTTTGAAGGAGGGAGGGAATATTTGTTAAAAATAAATTAAGAATTTATTCAATATTTTAGTTGGTGAAATTCATATTAATAATCCATATTTTTAAAGATTCTACATTAATAATCTATACTGAACATTTTGATAGAAATAATCCATACATGTATACTTGTTCACAAAAATAGATTAAATGAAATGGGGTTAACTATCCCGTCTTCTGCTCAATGTTCTCTTCATTCATTTTCACCGGTGATCATATCCTTATTCTATTCTTTGCCCTTGAACAATTTTTCTCTTCGTCGTCTTTAAAGTGGGATTCTATGTTCCCCCCCCCCCCCCCCCCCTCCTGCTTAATCGTCTTTTATACATCGTATTTCAAATTCGTATTCTCCTCCCACTTTCACTCTTTTTCTTTTCAATTTTAATCGTAAACAATCCGTCAGTTAAATTCTCATTAATTAAAACGGAAACTCCCTGCTTCTCCTTTTGTCATTCGTAATCTCATCTCACTTCTTCACACTCAGAGCTTTTTACGCAAACCTGCTCTTATTCAGGCATGGTTTAGAATTGGGGTGTGTCCTTGCGGTTGACCTTTGTTTAATGGGGAAAGGTCCAAAAATGACATTAAGGATTTTAATGAAGTTCGAATTCGACACTAAAGTTTTAAATAGATCAAATAAACACAAATTTAATCATTTTGAATCCATTTGAGGGCCTATTCGATCATTTTCGAATGTAGTGCAAATAATTTTATTTTAATTGTCATCTTATT